ATAAAATATATAGTTGGTATGATACGAAGTTAGAAGATTGTAGATATGTGGTATTGATTTGCTACTTTTCACAGTAAGAAAAAAGTGATTATAATCCAGTGAGAAGTTTTTGAAAGAAATTTAGTATCCAAATTGGAAATGAAACAAAATATGTCCCTGTTTGAACAATAGACAGGGTAAAAGAAAATTCATTTCACAATGAAACTTGGAATTATCAGCACAGGTTTGGTGATACAAGGTTATGGATACTTTTTTCAGTATCCATAATTTTGCCTAGTGTTGTACTTGGTTAAAATAAAGTGTGTGTGTAGAGATTATCACATAGGCTATAGTCTTCCAAATTCTTCGTCATACAGGTATAGAATTGCATTGTGCTATTTCATAGTTTAGAATAAACCTAAAGACAACGTGATAGTGAATGATAGATTAGGTAATAAATATTCAAAATCTTGTTATAATAGAAATATCATACTTAGCAGAACTTGAAAATACAGGGGAAGGGGAGTGGACAAGTAAACTAGTTGAATTATTTTGCATAGAGAGAACCAACATAGTTTCAAAATTCTTAGAAGATATGGTTAAAGAATATTTTAAATTATATGGATAATCATATTTGATGTATTAAATGGGAGACATGGAAGGGAGGTAAATGATCCAGTTTTGTTTGACATCAGGAATTCAATTTTATGGTTTAGACATGATAGTATAAGAATCAGAGATCTGACTGTATGCCTGTAATCCCAGCATTCAGGAGGCTAAGGCAGGAGTATCACCAGGAATTTGAGTCCTATTTCAAACAATAAGCAGCAATTAAGGAGCAGATAGTTAAGTGTACTGACTGATAAATCCTGAGGGGATTTGAATGACCTTATCAGATACAAAAGCTACAATTCTTGTTACATAGGTCTTGCTTTATTTTGGTCTTAACCATCCAGTAGAAAAGTATAAAAACTAAGTATAAGAAGTAAAGCCATACTGTTATGTTGAGCTGTAGGGGACTCAGGTCAACAACTTCTGACATTGCCAGTCAAGTGGAAAACCCAATACTATTGTGGACTACTGGACTATTTTGGAATATTTTGCTAGAGTTCACACACCTATAATATTTAAATGACGGAACTAAACAAAAAAAAGGGGAAACAGATGAATGACCGTTTTGTATCTGGGTATTAAAAATGGTTAGGATAGATATATAGCTACATTCTCTTAATTCAATGAATAGAGGGATTTGTTCTAATAGTGTTTGTAAATAGAATGTCATGTCTGCATCTTGTACAGCAAATAACCACTAGGAAGAGAGTATGCAATATGTTAATTATTGAAGCTGTCCTACCAATTTGATTTGAAACTGTCTCATTGCTATTTGTTTCTCAATAAAATTATGGGGAAAAAAAGTATACTGACTGCCCTGCAGAATAACTTAAAAAATATTTAAATTATTTATATCTAGAGAGTAAAACTTGTCATGGAAGACCAAGATGGACTCTACTTTGCATTCTGTACCATTTATTTAAACTTTTATATATATTTAGTATCTTTAGTGAATATCTATTTTTAAATATAAGTTTTGCAAACCTATTCAGCCAGATTGTTTCTTTGACTTTTGAGGTATCCTGATATATCTTGAGTCCACTGAAATTCTGTTGTTATGATAGGGACATACACTGTCTCAGCACAGGAAGTGA